CCTTATCTGGCTTAAACTGTTGCCAGGCCAATATCTGCAAAACTTGGCAAGGAGCCTCAGAGAGTCACAAACCAATTAAGCAAACTAATTGTCTCCTGCAAACTCCCCTCCCCTTTCACTCATCTTTTATTTCCTCTGGGAGGGGACATTCATCATCCACCTGTGGCCTTATTCCCAAGTTGACCCCTGTTCTTTAGCTGTTCTCTTCGACTGGCAACTCTGTGCATGCACACACTGGAAACAGGCTCCAACTGTTCGTCTGCTTCACTGATGTGACTCTGAAGGCAGCTGATAACTGGCATACGTTCCTGGCCCCCACATTGCCTCCAACACAGGGCTCTCCTCAGAGCCTTCTCCAGACTCCAGGATTGGCCCATATTCCTCCCCAACCTCCTCACTATCTGAATCTGTTGCCAGCTCCACTGGCTGCTGGCAGGCCACAACAGTTATTGCCTTATCTCTATTTATTTTTTGGAGATGTTCTAGGAATCAGACCGGCTGTCAGCCTGAAAAGGGTTAAGCATTGCCAAACTAAAAAGATGTAAGCCAGAATATCATAACCAAATCTTTTTTGCGTTACTTCCAACTAAATATTCTACATTCAGGGTATTCATGAGACAGGAGCAGAAACAAAAGAATCTTCTAGGCACTTACCATAACGGAATCATCTACTTTTCATAGGTTGCTCTGAGAATTTGCAGGCACTGTTCTGCAAATTTATATGTGGATGCAAATGTATGCATTATGTATGTACTGCCATGTGAGCAGAGTTTGACAACTGACAAATTTGCTAATTTGTCCTAGTCACTGCTCAGGAGAGGTGACTTTGGAGAGAAATTCCAAAATTTCTGGAACTAAATGCTTGGCCAATTGATTATGAGAATTGATCACTGGTGTTCCTTTACAAAGTCCAGATTACTGCAGCTCTCATTCTACTTTGAGCCAAACGGGGGGTCTGTATGCCAGCAATTCATCAAAGCATTATGTACAAAAGGACGTATGTGCAATGTGTTTTGTTCCACTGACCTGCTACAAGGTAAAATAGGTCATGGGGAATGAATGCCAAATGATCCCATGCAGGGCCTTCATTGTTTCGTGTGCAATTCATTTTTCGGAGGGAAATAGTCACCACAATAAAATGTTTTGTTTCTAGATCACTGATTCCAAAGCTCATCAATTAAAAGCAGACTGGATTCAGTGTTGGTTACCTGGAACATTACCCCCCTAACTTGTTTGGTGAACTCTCCAAGTCCATCTGGTAAACCAGCCTGTGAACTAGAGAGGTTTTTGCTCCAACTCCCTACGTTCTGAATATCGTTGGCCAAATCTATGGATAATTTCTCACCAAATATCAGAGAGCCACTTAAATCCATAATTAGTCACAGATTTTTAAAAAACAACAACATTAAAGTAGCAGACTTTCAGAGCAGTATTCAACCTAATCAGAGAACCACTTCTTCTTGATCAGATTCATATCTGGCTCAAACACTGAGAAATCATTTTGTTTTTCATATCAAATATTAGATAACCAGAGTATCATTAAGCTAGATATACTTTTGGAAAACATATTGTCATAGTGAGCATGATGTTCAAAGTCACAAAAAAAACTCAACCAATTAGCACACCAGCTATCCTTCTATGCAGTGGGTTCCTTCTGCAAGCAGCTATCAGGCGTGGTGTTGGAATCCTTAAGTTTATGTTGGATGACTTTAATCATCCAGGGTTGTGTTAGATAATGCTCATAATCATGGGTTCGTCCTAAGTAACCTTGAGCCCAACAAATAAAGATTGTGTTGGACCTGCCACAACTTTAGATGAAAATGATTCTTGGCTCTATTTGTTGAGAAAGGTGTAGAGATTAAGAAGTATATTGAAGGTGTGCAAAACCAGCACTGAAAAACATGCGCCAAAATCCCTAAGTTTTTCTTTTCCTTTACTTAACAGTCTCTTATTGCCCACCCCAGCATAACCAATCAGGATCAGGCAAGATGTTTTCCTAATGGTCAGTCCAAGTGTAGTCTGGAAAGTGGTCCCTTTCCTTCTCCCAGCTGGGTGACCTTGAGGCAACACCTTGAAGAGATAAAGCACTTACTTTTATTTCCCAAAGCATTGCTCATTCATTTCCCCTCTGCCAACTCACAGCAGCGAACCACAAGCAAACATAAGGTGGTAGGAAAGGACTGAAGCACTTGATAAGATTACTTCTGAATGGTCTTTCTTTTTTACCTGATCAGGGGAGACTATCTGATTAGGGAGGAGTCTAGGACAACTGATGAACCAAGACAATTCCTGAATATATGAGCAGCCAGCAAAGAAGATAAGGCAGCAATGGAACAATCTGCTGCTTTTGTATTACTGTTGCACTGGCAAATTAATGTGGGATTGCTTTCTTTCATTTAGCTCACATTTTGAGCATAACCTTATAGGAATGGAATGTTCAAGTTTTCCTTTAGTAACCAACTTCCTGTAACTAATTGCAAGGTAAGAACTTTCTCAGGCTGAATAACAAAGGCTTTCTTTTTCAATTGTGCATGTTAAGAAGTTTCAACTTAGCTGAAATTATATCCATTCACAACAAATTCTATGGGACCCATGATGTCTTTTCCAGTGGTGGGTTCCAATTTATTTTACTATTTTATTATTTACTTTAGCGCATGCGTGCGCGCTCGCGTCCAGGTGGGTGGGCAGAGCCTCCCGCCGCCACCACTATTGGTTCACCCGATTCAGGGCAAACTGGCAGAAACCCACCTCTTGTCTTTTCCCATGCTAACATTTTACTTTTGATACTTTTAATACAATGTGCTTTTCAATTCTTTTGTTAACATATTATTGGATGTTTAATTTTTCATGATGTAACTGGGCAAACGATTGTTCCTAAACCAATCGACTTTTACTTTGTTGTGCAAACTATAAAAAGAGATGAGTGTTTATGTTTCTCTCCCTCCCTCCCCCCTCCCTCCCCCCCTCTCTCTTGTAAAACCAGAATCTTTTATCTTGGGAAGTTCCAAATAAATTGTAAATTAAATGGTCTTATCCCAGTATTTAATTGGGGTCCAACATAACATTTGACCATCAAAAAGCACCTCCCTTTTTAAGATCCTATACTCCCTATTTGGGGTAGAGTTGGGGCAAATGGATGAAGCTGAGCAATTTACCAGCTGGATGCCTTTCCTAATGCCTATATGGAGTTCAGAACAGATTTTTTTTTTTTAATTTTTTCTCCCTTTTTAAAAAGTTTACTTTTTAATTTTTTATAAATGAAAAACTGGGTATGTTTTTACTGATGTCAAACACACATCATCATGGCGTCATCAAGAGCCGAGGTGGCGCAGTGGTTAGAGTGCAGTACGGCAGGCCACTTCAGCTGACTGTTATCTGCAGTTCAGCGGTTCTAATCTCACTGGCTCAAGGTTGACTCAGCCTTCCATCCTTCCGAGGTGGATGAAATGAGGACCCAGACTATGGGGGCGATATGCTGACTCTGTAAACTGCTTAGAGAAGGCTGAAAGCCCTATGAAGCGGTATATAAGTCTAACTGCTATTGCTATTGCTATCATATGATGTATCACAACTTTTTTCCCCTTCACTAAACCGGGTGCGGCCATAGCCAGCACATGACACATCCAGCTCACAGGCCGCAGGTTTGACAGCCCTGGTCTAGTTTAATGAAGAGAAGGACATGATAGCAGTGTTCCAATATCTAAGGGGTTGCCACAAAGAAGAGGGAATCAAGCTATTCTCCAAAACTCCTGAAGGCCAAAAAAGAAGAAACAGATAGAAACTAATAAGGAGATCAAACCTAGAACTAAGGAGAAATTTCCTATACAGTGAGAACAATTAGCCAGTGGAACAGCTTGCCCTCGAAGTGGTGGATGCTCTATTACTGGAGGCTTTTAAGAAGAATCTGGATAGCCCCTTGTCTGAAATGGAATAGGATTTCCCGCTTGAGCAGGGGGTCAGACTAGAAGACCTCTTAGGTCCCTTCTAACTCTGTTGTTCTGTTATTGCTATATAGCATATTGTGTCAAACAGATCTCTCCATTTTTAAAGATCTGGTCAGGCATTAAAAAGATTAGTAGACTTCCTACAGATAGCAATATACCTAAGGTTCTGTTCAGGGATGAGAATGGAAAGCAGGTTGGGTTATTCTACTTGAGATTTGGGTCTTTGGGATCTCCCCTCATCCCAAGAGGGAATATTGTGCTGCCAAATTATGACACTGTCATCTGTCAACCTAGAAAACTCAAAGGAATATAGGAATCGGGAGGGGAGAATGCAGAGGATTGTTCAACCCTATTGTCTATTTTCATCCAGGTTATGGTTGTCCCAAAGGTGCTTTTTTAAGAGGCAAGTGGAGTTTGTTTTTTCTTTAAAGATGTTCCATTTCTCATCCAAGAAGCACTACTCAGGTCACCCTGAGGACAAGTGGCCTCAACAACTCTCCAAAAGAATGCAAACAACCAGCAAGGAATATAAATCCTTCCATTCCCCACCATCCAGTCAGAGCTGAAGAAGAAAAAAAAACCCGAGAAGGTCCAGTTGCCTCTTGAAAAAAAAAAGTATCCTTGGGTTTGCCCCTATTAATCATCCCTCTTCTTGAAATATAAGAAAAACATGGCTATTCTATTGTTAGTGACAGTGGACAACCTCCAACTGGGGCTTTGTAACCTTGAGAGCTGAACGCAACAAAATTTCATTTTAATCTATGCTGATTAGTTTACATTCAAAGTGAAAATAAAGTTTCCTATCCATCCTATTCTAATCTATCTTATCTTATCCCAATGTATCCTATCCTATTCTAATCTATTCTATCCTGATCTACCTTATCTTATCCCAATGCCAATCTATTCTGTCCTATCCTAATCTATTTTATCCAACCTCAACCTATCCTATCCCAATCTATTTTATCTTATCCCAATGCCAATCTATCCTATCCTAATCTATTTTATCCAACCGCAACCCCAACCTATTCTATCCTAATCTATTTTATCCAACCCCAACCCCAATTTATCCTATCCTATCCCAATCTATTTTATCTTATCCCAATGCCAATGCATCCTATCCTAATCTATTTTATCCAACCCCAACCTATCCTATCCCAACCTATTTTATCTTATCCCAATGCCAATGTATCCTATCCTAATCTATTTTATCCAACCCCAACCCCAACCTATTCTATCCTGTCCCAATCTATTTTATCTTATCTTATCCCAATCTATCCTATCCTATACTAACCTATTCTATCCAGTCCCAATCCCACCCCATCCCATCCCATCCCATCCCATCTCCTGCCCCGTGCCTTTCTCCATCCCCATTCTATCCTTTCCCGGGCTCTTTTCCTCGTCCGTCGCCCTTCCGCCAGTCCTGAAGCGCTGGCGGAAGCGGCTCCGGCCGAAAAATCACTTGACAGGCCGTCGGGGCAGCCCGTTTTAGGGCGCTTACGAGGCGCGGGTCACGTGGGAAGCGTCAGCTGACGGACGCCATTGCCGCGGCTTTTGAGAGAGAGAGAGAGAGAGA